TTGCGTGGCCACGACGATGCAGAGTCGAACTTTATGCAACTGCTGCAACTACAGAAGCTACATACTCCCGAGTTGCGTGCTTGGCTGGAGCGACGAGTGGATAAGTACTGCTCCCCCGAAATCCAGAACGAAATCCTTCAGCTAATGTCGCATAGCATACTCCGGAATGTGGCCAAGTCCATTCATACTGCTGAGGTGTTCAGCGTAATGGCCGATGAGTGCGCAGACGTATCTAACAAGGAACAGCTGGCGTTGTGCTTCCGGTGGGTTGACCAGGAGTTGGAAGCTCATGAAGATTTCGTTGGTTTGTGCCAGATTGACAACATATCTGCAGATACGATCGTTGCGGCTATCCGAGACTGCATGCTGCGACTCAACCTCCAAGTCAACCGTTGCCGAGGCCAGTGCTACGACGGTGCCTCAAATATGGCTGGCCACAGATCTGGTGTAGCGAAGCAGTTGGGAGATGAAGAGCCAAGGGCTCTTTTTGTGCACTGCTACGGGCACTCTCTGAACCTGGCAATGTGCGACACCATCAAGACGACTGTGCTGACCAGAGATTCCCTCCATGTCACCAGCGAGTTGATCAGCAAGTTAATTTTAAAAGTACTCACCGAAACGGAATGCCCGATTTGACGTCCTGAAGGGTGAGATCTCGCCCCACACACCAGGATTCCGTGTGCTGTGCCCGACCCGCTGGACAGTGCGAGGCAAGAGTCTGCAAAGCATCCTGGATAACTATCTGGTCTTGCAAGAACTGTGGGATGAAGTTCTGGCTGGGAGTGTGGACCCCGACGTGCGTGCTCGTGTAATCGGAGTGAAGGCTCAAATGGAGACTTTCAACTTCTTCTTTGGAATCAGTTTGGCCCGTCTTGTCCTGGCACATGGTGACAACCTCTCTGTTTCCCTCCAGAGTTCAACAATGTCTGCTGCCGAAGCCCAGAAAATAGCACGTTTGACGGTGGACACGATCACAAAGATGCGCACAGAGAATTCATTCTCGATGTTCTGGGAGGCTACTGTGGCAAAAAGGCACCAGTTTGATGTCTCTGAACCACAGTTACCTCGCAAACGCAAACGTCCACAGAGGTATGAAGGTGGAGATGAGCCAGCATACCACCCCAGCTCCCCGGAAGGCCACTATCGGCAGCTGTATTATGAAGTGCTTGACAGTGCCAAGTCCTCCATCCAGACCCGGTTTAATCAGAAGGGCTTCGCTATATACACGCAGATGGAGAACCTTCTCTTGAAGAGTGCCAAAGGGGTTGACGCTACAGACGAGTTCAAGGCAGTGACAGAGTTGTACGGCGAGGATCTCGACTCCAACCTCCTTCTGACCCAGTTTTCCCTCCTTCAGACGCAGCTGACCTCTGATGACGATGTCACGTTTAAGTCTGTGCTGAAGTTCTTGCGGGGCTACTCCACATCTCAGAGGCAGCTTCTGTCTGAAGTTGTGAAGCTGGTGCGCTTGATTCTGGTAAGCCCAGCTACCAACGCCATGAGCGTGAGATCCTTCTCAGCAATGCGGAGAATCAAGACCTATCTCCGCTCCACAATGGGCCAGAGTCGGTTAAATTCAGTCATGCTCCTCCACACGCACAAGGACAGGACAGATGCACTGTCTGTGGTGGAGTTGGGCAATGCCTTCGTCGATGTCACCGGCAGTGATCACCGCCGCTCAATATTTGGCACATTCACGGATGCTGATCTTGCAGCTTAGTAACCCAGCTAGCAGTTTACCTGTGATTGCTCTTCTTGTCTTTTTTCTTTGGCTTTCTTACACAGCAGCGGGACCATGCACAGTAATACTTATTATACTCATTGTTTCAATGCATATTGTACGCGATCTGTCACATATTATTATTTCTTGCCTGCATTTCTTTTCCTCGCTAGTTTTGCTGAGAGTTTTTGTACACCTATTCAATGGTGGATGAGATAACAGGCTTTGAATGCTGTCCATAGTTGTTTTCTTGGAAGCAGTAAAACAATGCCAAAAGTGCCCAGAATGCAGGATTTTGCACCCTGATTTCAAACAATTTCCCAGGGGACATCCCCCCCGGACCCCCCTGGCCGGACCACCGCCAACGGCGGTGCTACGCGCATGCGTATTCAGTAATTGAATGGTTTATTTGGGAATTCCGCTAGGACCTGAAAGGTTTGACGTGGAATTCAGGTTACACTAGGAGGTGAAGGCTTAAAGAGAAAGTTTATATCAAAAAAGGTATTCTTTGTAGACCAAAGAGTGGTATATTAATTATACCAGTCTTTGGTCTACAAAGAAAACCTTTTTTTGATATTACAATGAGAGTGGCTAACCATTGGCTTGTCCACCAACTCTAAGAGAAAGTTTACACAAACTACAACCTTGTCCCCTTGATATTCCCGCCCTTTCTCACATTTCGGCCTTTGATGAGCTCATTTATGCACAAGCAAAAGCCGCGGCAAAGTCTGACAGCGGAGAATGAGACAGCTACAGGGGTGGTGCGGGTGGGAACACACTGTCACATTCTCCGCCTTCACATCCTAGTGTAACCTGAATTCCACGTCAGACCTTTCAGGTCCTGGCGGAATTCCCAATTACACTTCGAAGGCTCCGGCTACGAATGTGACAGTGTGATGTTTAAAGAAAGACCTCACATGAGTAGCAAGGTAATTGTATTTGTATGAAGTTGATTGTTCCAACTAGGAACACACGCTTCTTGCCCAACTTGACTGACTCAGGACTGCCATCCGGAGCACATGAGGAGCACGTCGCACCTTCCACTCAGCAAACCTGCAAGAAAGCACCACTCCCTGCTCAATACACAGTGTTTCGGGGAATTCACCCCTCATCAGTTGAGCTTGAGTAGGCTGAGGAAGATTGTGCCTGAAAAGCACCACTTATATACTGCTCTCAAGGCCAAACCATCACCAGGGATACAAACTTACAGAGACGCTTTGTTTCCAGCGCGACAAACACCTCGTGAAGCCCCAGGTAGCAGCGTGAGTCAGACCGCCAAAGTCTTAACTTCTTAGTTCGTAATGTTGTCCCTCACGCGGACGTGCGACTAGTTGTTTGAGGTGACAGCGTTGTGAATAGCTATTCTGGCCCTCAAGGTTTGTTTAGCACAACTCCATGAGCGACTCTGACTCACGGTGCTACCTGGGGCACCACGAGGTGTTTGTCGCGCTGGAAACCAAGCGTCTCTGTAAGTTTGTATTCCTGGTGATGGTTTGGCCTGGAGAGCAGTATATAGGTGGTGCTTTTCAGGCACAATCTTCCTCAGCCTACTCAAGCTCTACGGATGAGGGGTGAATTCCCCGAAACACTGTGTATTGAGCAGGGAGTGGTGCTTTCTTGCAGGTTTGCCGAGTGGAAGGTGCGACGTGCTCCTCGTGTGGTCCGGATGGCAGTCGTGAGTCAGTCAAGTGTCAAGTTGGGCAAGAAGCGTGTGTTCCTAGTTGGAACAATCAACTTCATAACTAGTACCGCCGAAGTCGCAACTTCTAAGTTCGTATTGTATTTGTATTTTATTATATTTAAGGATTTCCCAAAGGCTTTGGGCCTGTCGAGGGGATCTCCTGCGAGAAGAATGACAACTTTATGTAGAGGGAGCAGTTAATCGAGGATAGGCTAAGGAAATAGATCGAGGCATACAAAATCTGGAAATTAAGGAGTTGGGATACCGTCAGTGTAATGAATATATCTGCGAAAATGCTGATAGAGAGGGTGCTTGAATTCGGGGAGGCTGGTTATAGAGGTAAGAGAAGGCGGCAGGCAATTCCATAGCACTGCAGCTTTGTTGGAAAACAGGGAAGAAAAACGCACACCGTGATAATTGATGTTAAGTTTGTTTGGTCTTCTTGGACTTGAAGACAGTGAAAGGTGAAAATGTTGCAGGTGTTCTGGAGATATATGGATAAGTTTAAATAGAGTAGCAAGAGCTGATAGTTATCTGCGAAAGTGCAAGGACTCTAAGTCACAAAGGCCGTTTAACTGGCATTTCCTCTCGCATCTACCTACAATTTTTTTTACGTAACAAATACTTCCTAGCTACTCCGGCTTGTAAAATATTTAAACGCTCCAGCTCAGCTTTGGTGATGGCATAGGACCAGGCCGAGGTGGCGTGTTCCAGGGCGGGTCGGACAAAACCTTTATAGAAGTAGAAAGGCTGGGGGGCAGGATGCCGTCCCATGAAGCATAGCAGACTAACACGACGTTGGAAGGTTTTCAGGATGGTCTGAAGGTGGATGGTGTTGGACTGGTCGGGTGTTAAATACACTCCAAGATGCTTCGCAGCTTCAACGATGGTGATAGGTTGGGAAGAGAGCTGGATAGGGTGGTCGTTACTGTAGTTACGGATCTGAGTCGTTTTGGCTGGTGAGAACTCTCCACCGACGTTGCTGGCCCATAGTTGGCAGGCAGAAAGGTCGCTCTCTAGACGAGATTGGTTCCACTGCAGGGAATTCTTGTTATCATGTACATACAGGAGGGTGACATCGTCAGCAAATAAGTATGGGTTGCAGTAGGTGATTGATGAGGGCAGGGAATTAACAAATAATAAAAGAGGGCTGGAGCAAGATGCGATCCCTGCGGGACTCCACAGGTGAGAACTGTAGTGTTTTAGTCCGTGACTCACAACACCCAAAACAAAGCACAACCGTAGTTCACTTGTCCAGTACGCAACTGGTTGAATATTACAGAGTAAAGCAATATAAAAGGAAGATAATGGAGGTAGTCCAAACACACGAGATAGCTAGCATGCATGAATGGATGAATGCCAAGTGCGGTCATTCGACACTTCCATAAGGTCTAGCATTACCGACAATAGTTTGGCCCTCAGGTGATTCACAATGTCTGTGGTTACAAACACCACAGTCCTCCCTTCTAAAATAGAACATACTTCTAGGGCTAGAGCAAAGATCGTAAACGTCAAGATGAAGATTGAGACAGAGAAACATGAGCATACAGTGATGTGTAGTTCTGACATGATCAACATGACCGGGACTGTTTCTACTTTCTACAGGCCCAAGCGAGACACTTGCTTGCGTGTCCGCAGCGTTCGGCGTAGAGTCGGAGTCGGTGAGGCGTCAGTTGTGTCGTTGGTAGCGTCAGCCTCGTGCTGTTGTGGCACTGCAGCCGGCTCAGGCTCGGGTGCTTCTGCTGCGGTCGGGTGCTGCACTGGAGGGAGACATGGTGCAGCCACAGATTGTGTCGGCTCATCCACTAGGAAGGACGGGTGTCCCGCACGTAGCTGATCCAGGTGTCGCTTCCACTGTGCACCTTGGCTGGTGACAATCACGTACGTACGAGACCCAAGCTTCTCGAGTATGGTCGCTGGGATCCATCCGGGATGGTTGGCGTTCCGGTAATCACGTGCTAGAACGGCGCCTCCAACCTCGAAGGATCGTGCCTTGCCAGCAGGCTCTTCGGTGGGCGTCTTGGCGTTCTGTTGTGCCGTTGACGGTCGCAACAAATCCAGACGTGATCGTAGCTGACGGCCTAGAAACAGCTTCGCAGGCGTTGCGTTTGTAGCCGGATGGACTCGTCGGCGGTAGCTCATCAAGAACCGGTCAGCAGCAATCTGTGCAGGCGTTGACTGTGGTACTGCCTGGATTGCCCGTTTAAACGTCTGGACGAACCTTTCAGCTTGGCCGTTCGTCGCTGGATGATACGGCGCTGAGCGTCTGTGAGCGATGCCGTTCGAGGCGAGGAACTCGGCAAACTCTGCAGATGCAAATTGTGGACCATTGTCGCTGACGATGAGGTCTGGGCAACCATATCTGGCGAATACTGTCCTGAGACTCGCGATGGTAGCCAAAGACGTTGTAGAAGGCATCGGAATGACTTCGGGCCATTTTGAATGGGCATCGACAATGACGAGCCATATCGTTTGTCGCAATGGACCAAGGTAATCCACGTGGACGTGCTGCCACGCGCGGTCTGGCATGCTCCATCGGTGCACTGGTGCTGCAGCAGGTTCGCTCTGGACACTTTGGCATCCGAGGCATGCTTTGACTGCGTCTGCTATGTCGCCGTCCAAGCCCGGCCACCGGAGGATGCTTCTCGCCAATGCCTTCATTCGTACCATTCCTGGATGGCCTTCATGAAGCTCTGTCAGGACAGCTTTCCGGTGGTCCGGCGGAATGATGATGCGGTTGCCCCATAGCAAGCACTCGTTGCTAACGCTAAGCTCGTTGCGGCGTTGGAAGTACTGCTGTAGCTCTGCTCTTGGGCACGACTTCGGCCAACCTTGGAGCACTGTGATGATATTGGAACTATATCATTTGGTGCCATTAAATATCCCTATACATATACATATACAGTAACTATAACCTTCACATCCTCATATTTACACCTGTCCATATATGACATTAGAATAGCATGCTGCGTACTACTTCCCGTACTACCGGTACCTTTTCTAGTACTCACATATTGTACAACTTTACACACCAAGATAAAATAACAAGGATGACAGCCCTTCAGGGTTAGTTGTCGGTTAGCCGGACAAGAGTGGGTTGTTGGTGTGTCCTCCCCTAGGCCCTTCACATGGTGTCAGAAGTGGTCCAGTCACTGTGTGTCAGTACTGCGTACCTCCGTCGTTGCTGAAAGTTTGCGTAATTTTATTTCTAGTTTTTCGTTTTTTCGAGTTCGTGGGGCCGCAAGTGGGGCCATGGATCTCGAGTCGTTGGTGTTTGCTCGCCACGAGCAGTTGAGGGACATCTGCCGGGGGCTGCATCTCCCCACCGGTGGTGCACGCTCTGATCTTGTGCGGCGGATCCTCTCCGTATCGCACAGCAGTGCGCGGATGGATCGGGAGATCGACACTGAGTTCGAGGAGGTGGCCCCGGATGATGACGAGCTCACTGGCTTACCTGATGCTGCTACCAGGTCGACGCTCCCTTCTCCACCCATGGATTTGTTTCGTCCCGCACCGTCTCCGAAACCTCGCTTGCCGAAAGTAAGTGATAATCCTTATTTCGGCAACAGTATTGTGAGCAACAAATTAGATTACAACAGTGAGCAGTCCTTTGCAATGAACCAATCGCAGTTTCAGGCCAATCAGGGTTCTGCTCCTACTAGTACTACTACTACTACTACTAGTACTTACCATACGCATGACGCACCTGCACTGGCTTCCGCTAGCCGTCGTACTCGTACTGGGCGTACACATAGCCATACTAAGGTTGCATGCTCTACTCCGGAGCCAAAAGCGGTCCACGTCCACCGTCAGCCCGTACATGTCGCTTTTGGTGAGGATCCCGTGTATGGAGACCCTAGGCCTAGTAGTAGTACGCACGAACTGAGTGATCAGGCGCAGGCCAGCACTAGTCGTACACGTACACCCGCAGGTCCGCATGCCCCGCACGTGCACATCGATCCTGCTGCTGAGAACCCTGAGCCTGAGCCTGAGGCTGAGGCTGAACACGAACAGCGTTCCGCCACCGATGTCGATGTCGATGTCGATGTCGACTCGCCGTCCCAGCTGTCGATGCTCACGCAGTTGGTCACGCAAATGGCGCAAGTGCAACTCACTCAGGCCACACGGCGATTCTCTCAGAAGGTGCCACTGGCTAAACTGCGCCCTGGGGACGATGTTGAGGCATTCCTCACCAGTTTCGAACGATCCATGCGGGCGTACAGAGTTCCTCCGGACGATTGGGTCTATTTGCTAAGCCCCCAGCTGACTGACAAGGCCTTGTTGGCATACACGGAACTTGCCTCCACTGAGGCTGACAGCTACGACCGCGTGAAGGAGGCCATTCTCCATCGCTATGCCGTTACCCCCGAAACGAGCCGCCGTAAATTTCGGGGCACTACGCTGCAGAGCTCGGAGTCCATGATTGACTTCGCCGTCCGTGTCCGTGACACTGGCAGTCGTTGGCTAAGCCCCGCATCCTCGCGCGAAGCCATATGTGAGTTGATCCTACTGGAACAGTTCTTGTCTGCGCTTCCTTTTGGTTTACGCACTTGGCTGCGGGAACGCAAACCGTCGTCCCTCGACCAGGCTGCTTCGCTAGCGCAGGACTATCTTGACGCACGGGATCGCGTACAGGAGCCCAGCAGTGGTCGTCTCAGCAGCGGCAGGGAACAGTCTCTTGTCTGCCACATTTGCCAGCAGCGTGGCCACATGGCCAGGGATTGTTCTAAGCGACGGGCACCATTGCCGAACACTGACGCACGTGCCCAGGTGCAGGGGTCATTTGCGTCACCCCGAGACCGGACGTCCGAGTCATCCAACCTTGCTCGAGTTCGCTGGGCTGCACCAACCTCAGGCTCAGCGCGGGACCGGCCAGTATCTTCCCCAGCTAACCCCAGTCAGACCCACTTGTCATCTGACCGCCCAGTGACTTCTCGTCCTGACCGTCCCACACCACCACCGAGACGCCCCATGTCGCAGCCGCGTTGCTATAATTGTCGTGAGCTGGGACATATTGCTATTAAGTGTCCGAATCACACTCGCACCGCTCTGTTTTCCAGCCCAGATCAGGAAGTCCAAGATGCTGGTACAGTTCATTTGCTGCCGGATGAGGACGATCTGCTGGGTGAAGCATATTTCTGCTCACCCCCTCCACCTGTAGACTCTGGTCGGTTGCCCCCCGCTAATCCCAGCGCCGCCATGGGACCAGCACCGGAGTACACCGTCGCTGGGTACGTGAATGGTACCCACGTCCCGAGCATCGTTGTTGATACCGCGTGTGGCCGCACCATGGTACACAGGACCTTGGTCCGGGACCAAGATTTGTCTGGTGAGACTACCTCCATTCGTTGTGCCCACGGTGATGTGGCCAGTTACCCCATGGCCGATCTGACCATCACCATCGACGGCATGGTGTACTATGTCAAGGCAGCAGTGTCCGAGCACCTGCCCCGTCACGTGTTGCTTGGCCGTGATGTGCCCCACATACATGAGTTGGTCCGGCTGTGTCAGCCAGCCGCCACGGACGTCTTGGTCTCTACGCGTGCACAGGCCAAGGCTTCACCTGAGTCGACTGGTGCTGCTGGTTTGCACGACATCTTCCCGTTCGAGGATGAACTGTTTGAGGAGTTGGCCTCGAATGCAGCTTCTTTGCGTGCACCGCCGGCGGACCTATCTAGCACACCAGAGGTGACACCGCCACCTATCTCTGCACCCGATTTGCCAGATGCCACCCGTTTCGCCGACGAGCAACGGCGTGACCCATCTCTTAGCCCATGTTGGGACTATGCTACTGGCCGACACAAGACGCCCGTCAATGGCAGTACCTTCTGTGTTCGCCAGGGCCTCCTCTACCGGGAATACTCACCGGATGGTGAAGCGGGGATGGACACCACCAGCCCCTACTACCGCCTTCAGTTGGTTCTGCCCACGGAACGGAGATCCACCATTCTGCACCTCGGCCACACCGTCCCCATGGCTGGCCACATGGGACAGGCGAAGACATCCCAGAGGATTCTTCTCCGTTTCTGGTGGCCGACGATTCTTCAAGATGTCGCACAGTATTGTTCCGCCTGTGAACCATGTCAGCGCACCGCCCGTGTTCTGCGTCATGATCGGGCACCACTTATTCCTCTTCCTGTTATTGGCGAGCCCTTCCGGGTGGTAGCTATTGACATTATCGGCCCATTGCAGCGTACGCAGTCCGGCAAGAAGTACATCCTCACCTTGGTGGATTATGCAACCCGCTATCCGGAGGCAGTCGCTCTTTCCAATATTGAGTCGACTACCGTGGCTGATGCGTTGATATCCATCTTTTCCAGAGTAGGACTGCCAGACAAAATCCTCTCCGACCAAGGCTCCAACTTTACGTCGGACGTCCTCCGACAAGTTGCTGCTTTACTCCGTATCCAGCTTACCACATCCACTCCGTACCATCAACAGACCAATGGCCTCGTCGAACGGTTCAATGGTACCCTCAAGGGTATGCTTCGTCGGTTTGCTGCTGATGCGCCACGAAGTTGGGACGAGGTGCTCCCATATGCTTTATTTGCGTATCGAGAGGTGCCTCAAGCCAGCACTGGTTTCTCACCATTTGAGCTCCTGTACGGCCGCCATGTCCGCGGCCCGCTGGATCTCGTGCGCGATGCTTGGGCTCAGCCCACGGAGGAGCTCCGGACCACTACTGCCCAGTTCGTCCTCACCATGCGGGACCGGCTTGAACGCATATCGACTGAGGCTGGCTCCCACCTTGCCACCGCGCAGCAACGGCAGAAGGCCTACTATGACCGCCAGAGTCGGGAACGCACATTTGCTCCGGGAGACGAGGTACTGCTCTTGCTTCCGGCTTCGGCTCGCAAAATGGAAGCCGTGTGGCAAGGCCCTTACCCTATTCGGCGTAAGGTCGACAAGGTCAATTATGAGATTGACATGGGACCCCACCGCACGAAGCGATATCGGGTTTTCCACATCAACCTCCTGCGGCGGTTTCGCCGGCCCCAGCTCGCGGCCTTCACCGTTCCTATGGCGGAGGACGACCCAGACACGGAGCTGCTGCTTGACGACTGCTCCCCTCTACACGTTGATGGTGGCCGTCCTACCATTAACCCCGACCTTTCGCCGGACCAGCGGCAACAGCTCGACATGCTGCTATCGGAGTTTGAGGATACCCTCTCACCCCAGCCTGGCCAGACGACCGTGGTGGCTCACTCCATCCACACTGGCGACGCCACACCCATTCGTTCCCGGCCATATCGTCTTGCCGCTGCGCACCATTCTGTTGTCCGCGATGCCGTCGACGAAATGCTGGACATGGGCGTCATACGCGCATCCCGCAGTCCGTGGTCTTCACCCGTTGTGCTTGTGCCGAAGAAGGACGCCTCGATCCGCTTCTGTGTCGACTACCGTGCCCTTAATCAGGT